GGCTGTTGGGGATTTGCATCCACAGCCGCCATCCTGTCTCTAAGAATTCTCTCCAGAACAAGTCTACCTTGCGGCAGTGTGGTGGCTTCGCTGTACCAGTCTTGAGGAGGGCCGGTGCCCAGCACCCATCCTGGCTGAGGGAATCCATTCGTTCTGGCTGTGGAAGCCTCATGGAGCAGCAGCAGCTGTGCGGTGCGTCGTGGGTTCTGCTGGGGGTGGGGGTTGGGAGACACGAGACTCACCCATTTCTCCTTGGGAATCCTTGAATTCCTGTTGTTGAGCCTTGATCTTCACTGAGGGCCAGTCATCAACTGTTTTAAGTGTTCAATTACCCATAAGCTGAAGTCTGTGGAAGGCCATAATGGCCCTGCTTCAAGTGGGTCACTGCTCCCGCAGCTCACCACGCTGTGTCTGCCTCCGCCACCATCTTGCATCTCCCTTTTACATTTTTTAAAAATAAGGTATTTACAATGATGCCAACCCAAAGACATTTGTCATGACTCTGCCAGCTGCTCCATGGGAGAAAGATGCGCAGTCTCCTCTTGTGTGATTTACAGCCTCTGAAAACCTGCTGAGGATCAGCTAGGAGGCACTCTGACTCTGGCAATAACTGACTTTGACTTTGATTTGCAATAAACATTCTTTTGCTTTAAAAAAATTCTATTGTTATGTTTGACCTCATGAGAATTGGTTTTGTGTTATTAATACTATTGAAAGGTAAAGTTCCCCTTTGAGAAGTTGTTAAAGGCCAGAGATGAATGTTCCTAAGTGGTCCTTGCTTTATTTACAATTTTTAAGTTTATTTTTATTAAGAAAAAAAAGTTCTATTGTCATGCTATCTCCAACATTATTCTGTCCCCAAGGCCAGATTTCCAATCACTAATTTTACTTTGTTTCCAACTTTTGCATTCCAATGATTAGTTACTGTAGGTGCATCTTAACTGCATATTTGATTAGTTTCAGAGTGTAAAAGTTGGTAGAAATCTTCAGTTTCTTCATCTTTGGCTTTAGTAGTTAGTGTGTAAGTCTTCTTTATATACATATGGGTCTTATTACTAACAATCTTGAAATATTCTTTTTGAGAGTGAATGTGACACCATTTCTAGTATACTCGCCTCTCACCTATAGGATTTTCTGTTTCAAGTGGCCAATACCACTCCATTTCTGCTCACTGATACCTAAGATTGCTATTTTAGATGTTCCATTTAATTTTCAATAGTTTCCAGTTTTCCATAATTCATACTTTATACATTCCATGTTCCAATTACTAATGGATGTTTACAGCTGTTTCTCCTCATTTTGAGTTGTACCACATCAGCAGATGAAAGTCCATAAGTAAATGAAGATCCTCAAAAGTTTATTGCATCTACCGCATTAACATTCTACTTAGAGGAGGCAGCACTTCCCTCACTGTATTTTACATGTCTAAAGACTGGAGGAGTTCGCCTTCTAGCCTTGTGTTGAACAGTGTTCTGCTGCTATTCATAAGTTTGTAAGTGGTTATTTCAGAAGCGGAGTACCCATCTTTCTTCCTGTTCTTTTATTTTGGAAGCGCCAGTGTAAGCTGTCCACCGTGGGTGACCCTGCTTGTATTTGAAATACTGGTGGCACAGCTTCCAGCATCACAGTAACATTCAAACCACCATCATCCAGCAAACTGACACAGTAGTGACCTCAGCCCTAGGAGTCCAATAGTCTGGTTTTGCTCTACCATTTGACTGTTCCAGGTATTTCATATAAATGGAGTGTGTGATCTTTTTGAGATTGACTTCTTAGTATATACTTTTCAGTTTACCCATGCATGAGATATCTGTACCTCATTTCTTTTTATGGCCATATATTTCATGAAATGAAAATACCACATTTTTAGTGACTGCTTGTTAAGTGATTGAATTTGGGTGGTTTTGGCTATTATGAATAATGCTGCTGTGAATATTCAGGTACAAGTGTTTGTGTTGACATATTGTTTCATTTCTCTTGGGTATATGTTGTTGTTGTTGTTGTGTGCCATCAAGTCAGAACTGACCCATAGCTGAACCTCCAGCAGGTTTTCAGAGGCAATAAATCACACAAAAGGAGATTGCTCATTCTTCTCCTGTTGAACAGCTGTTGGAATTGAACCACATGCCTTTGGGATTGCAGTGTGGTTTCTTACTGCTAGGCCACCAGTGCTCCCTTCTTGAGTATACGCTTAATCTAATTCATCCTTGTTGTTGTTGTTTACCATTAAGTTGAAACTTAACCATTGCTGACCTTCTGGCAGGTTTTCACAGGCAGTTAATCTCATGAGAGGAGACTGCCCATCTTTTTCCTGGGGAGTAGTTGGTGGAATCGAACTGCATGCCTTTGGGATTGTAGTGCAGTTTCTTACCACTAGGCCACCCGAGCTCCCTAATTAATCTTTAAAAAAAAAAAAACCACAACAGAAGACAGAACAAAGCAAACACCTTTCTAATCTCATTGTCTAGGCATGCAGTTAAAATCCATCAGCTGCTCCACGGGGAAGGATGGGCATTCTCTTCTTGTGGAGTTATTGCCTCTGAAAACCTACTGGAGGGTCAGCAATGGGTTGGGTACACAACAATAATAACCATCTTATTGTCTAGCTTAAGTGCCTACCTTCTTAAATCTGTGATGACGCTTGCATTGTAATTAAAACATTACATTGAAATCTCTCTTTGTGTGCCTCCAAGTTTAGGGAGTTTAGGGTATATGTCTCACTCAATTTTGTATCATCTGAAAATTGCACAAATGTTGCTTTAAAGTTTGTTGATGTTAAAAATTTGATATTAACATTTATAATTATGTGTAACCATCCCCACTTTCTTTTTTCAAAACTTTCATCACTCCAAATAGAAATTAAGAACCCATGAAGCAGTAACTCTCGTCACTGCTGCTTCTCAGTCTCTTTACTATTGTCTATTTACTAAGCTTAGATACTCTGTATAAGTGAGATCATATTTGTCCCTTTGTGTCTGATTTCTTTTACTTGACCTGATGCATTCAAGGGTCATCTATGTAGTGCCATTTATCAGAATGGCCTAATTAAGACTTGTATGCATTGTTGGTCCATTTGGAAATGTAGTCAACAAAAGAGAGGAAGACCCAAAACAAGATGGATTGACATGGCAGGGGCAGCAGTGAGCTCAAATGTGTTGTAGATGGGGTGAGGAGGTCACAGGACAGACCAAGGGTCAAATATATTGTTCATAGGGTCGCCTAGAGTCAAGGTTGACTTGACAACATATAACAACAGCAGCATCAACAACAACAATATTGTATGTAAGAGGAGCTGTAGTTGCCTTGTACTTATTCAGTTGCTAACCAAAATGTACATGTTTGAACTTCCCTGGACAAAAATGAGACAATCTAATAAAAATTTACAACCTTGGAAAACTTCTAGGGCAACTCGGCTTTGTTCTACAGTGTCTCGAAGAGTAAAAAACAGCTTGATAATACTAGTCAGGGTTTGGTTTGTTATGTACTATAGAACCAGAACTGAATCATAGCTGACCCTCCAGCAGGTTTTCAGAGGCACTTAATTGCAGGGGAGGAGATTGCTGATCTTTCTCCTGTGGAGCAGCTGATTCCTTTGATGCCAGCGCAACTCTTTCCCACTAGACCACCAGAGCTCAATGGAAGTACTGTTGTTGTTGTTGTTTAATGCCGTGGAGTTGTAGACAACTCATAGCGACCCTATGAACGAACAGCCTGAGCACTGTTCGTACATAGTTTCCAGAGGCAAGCCATTTCAGAAGTGGATGCTGCTCCTGCTTCCAGGCTTGATTTAGTCGGGAAGCTCCAGCCAACACTGTCTACCATGGGTGCCCATTACCACGATTGGCACATCACAATGGAAGTACTAAGTTTTGTTTATTGATTCACTTCTTGATAAAAGGGTTGTTTCCATCTATACCTATTGTTATTGTTACTCTTGAGTTGGAATCAATGCACAGGTGACCGTCCAATGGATTTTCAGAGGCTGTAAATAACATGAGAGGAGAGTTCCCATCTTTCTTCCATAGAGCAGTTGGTGGATTCCAGCTATCTTCCTCTGGGCTGGCAGCACAACTCCTTTCCACAAAGAGCTCACTTTGAGCCATACCTATTATAGTTATTAGCTATCATGAATAATTTGGCAATGCCACTTTGATAAATAATTATTTAAGTCCCTGCTTTCAAATATTTTTAGTATATTACTAGGAGTGAAATTGCTAGAGCATAAGGTAAGTCTTGGGAACTCTGGTGGCGTAGTCCAGTTGTGCTGATAAATAAACGGTTTGATGCCTCAGTGTGGTTTGAATACACCAGTGGCTCCATGGGAGAAAGATAGGCAGACTCTTCCTACTAAGATTTACATAAAGCCTGGGAAAACACTGAGCTCACTATGAATCAGAACCAACTTGAGGAAAATAAGTGTGGTAAATCTATTTAACTCTTAAAGAACCACCAGATTTCAGTAGCGGCTGCGTTTTCCAAATCCCACCAGTAGTAACAGAGGATTCCAATTTCTCCATGTTCTCACCAACACTTATTTTTGGCTTTCTTGATATTAGCTGTTCTAGTGGTATTAAGTGGTATGTTTCCTTATAGTTTCTATTTCCATTATCCTAGTGAGTAATAATGTTTAGGACCTCTTCATATATTTATTGGCCGTTGCGATATCTTCGATATCTTCCTTCATCCATTTTCTGACTGGATATTTGCTTGTCTTTTTGTTGTTGAGGATTTTTGCTTTTATTTTAAAGGCCTGCCAGAAAACAACAAAAAGGCCCTAAAGAGAAAACTGTAGAAGAACTAAAAGATGAGATAGAAAAAATAAAGTCTTATCGCTACATGGAAGGTGAACCTGAAGATGATGTCTATTTAAAACGCTTATACCCAAGACAAATATATGAAGTGGACAAAGCTGTTCAGCTACTTAAGAAATTTCAAGTACTGGACTTCACTTATCCAAAGCAAGGTGTTTATCTTGATTTGACACTTGATATGTCTCTACAGAAGAAGGTATGTAAACTCAGGTACATTTATATGTGAGCAATGGTTGTAGAATTTATGATTCTTAATTTTTAAAAATTTTCCTTTCCTTTGGTCATTATTAGAATATCTCAGGCTCTTTCTGTAATTAATGTTATTAAAAAACATAGGCTTGTTTGGTTTTTTCCCAGTTCTTTAAATATGAAATATATTGTTGTTGTTGTTGTTATGTGCCATCAAGTCGTTTGCGACTCATAGCGACCCTATGTACAACAGCCCTAAACCCTGCTCTATCCTGTGCCAATCGCACTGCCTCTGACACACCCATC